AAAAAGCCTTTTTTTTTTGTTTCTACAAAATTGTTTTGCTTTTCTCAATAAATCTTCTAAAATTTAAAATTATCTAATGAGTCAAAAATTTTTTAATCATCAGAAATAGAAAAAGTGATTTGCATTGACCGGGTCACAGAAAAACCACCAATAAAAAAGAAAATTTTCTTTTCTTTTGTTGTACTTTTGTAAACAATCAAATATTGCGTCTTCTATTATTTGTCACCTTGAATATTTATCAAAAATACAATAGTATAAAACATTGAGCATGCTCTATATTCATATATTGTAAATAATCATATATGCCTGGTTAATTCCCCTTATCAAATATACAAAATGTCAATTTCGTTGACTTTATGAATCGATTAAAAATACTTATTTATAAATATATCGATTAATCTATTTCTTTTCTCTTATGATGATTCATATTTAAGAAATATTTGAAAAATTTTATCTATTTTGACATTCATAAAAAACAAAACAAAAATCATTTTATTTTTATTTTTTGATTTCAAAAACTGTCGTTTTTAAGTTTTTTTTGTGCGTTTATTATCTTTAACTTCAATAACAATAAGATCAATCATTATTTTTCTCGATCAAAGCATGTTTTTTTTTTTATTTTTCATAATAAATAAAATATAACATTAATTTAACCAGCTTTTTTCACAATTTGTACGACATCTTCATCAATACTAAAAAATTTATAAAAAACAAAAACATTTTTGTTTTTTGTAAATTAAAAACAATATATATATGTTACACTTACAGTACATGTTCTTTACCAACTTTTTGTGGAAGATGTTTAACAGAAGCACCCTTATTGAAAGAAGAAAATATAAATATTAAACAAAAAAAAAATCTTAATAAAAATTTTTACCCAAACAAGTGCATATTTAAAATCTTGTAAAATAGCTCGATGAATTTTATTACAAAAATCTTCAACTGAACTACGTCCTTGTGTAAGTACAACAGGTGCTGAATAATCTGGTAATTGACCTTTTGGTTTTGTATATATTCGAACAAGTTTTAAATATAACCACATTTTTTCAAGTAAATCATCAAAATTCCATTTATGATGTGCTGATATAGGTACACAATGAGGAATTTTATAAATAATATCTAATTCTTCAATTGATATTTGATCTATTTTATTTAATATATATATAGCTGGTACATAAACACGATTTCCTTCAATTAAATCAATAATATCATCTTCACTTGCATCACAACGTAAAATAATATCCTAAAAAGAAACACAACTATATATACATCATATATATATTTTCTTATAGATTAAAAGATTAAAAAAAAATTATTTTTAATATTCATAAAATAAATATCAAATGATTTCATTTGATATTTTATAAAATATTTTAATTATATTACTATTTTAAAAACTTTCAAATTGTACTCTATAATAATACTACTACTACATTTGAAGTAATGTTTTGAATCTATGCTATCAATCATCATTATCCAGGGGAGAGGCAACGCCCTTTAGATTAAAGAAAAAAAGTATGACTAAATGAGAATATTTGATATATATATATTATTTTCACTTACAGCATTATGTATTTTATATTCTCCAAGTATAGCTTTAACAGTTTCAAGATCAAGTGATGTTTGTGGTACTAATGCTTGATAATTTAATCCACCTTTATCTTTTCGTTTAAAATAAATATTTGGTGGTTCTTTATTTAATCTTATACCAAAACCTTCAAGTTCATATTCAATTAAACGTTTATGACCTAATGGTTTAAGTACGTCAAGAACAATGAATATCAAATTACATGTTCGAGCAACTAGCAAAAAAAAAAAAAAAGAAAATTGAATTGTTGTTTTGTTTTTGATAAGAAAAATTTTTTCTTTAATAAAGATATACCTGCAATAACTTGTTTACCACGACCTTTACCATCTTTAGCTCCTTCAATAATACCTGGTAAATCAAGTAATTGAATTTTTGCACCTTTATATCGTATAACACCAGGTACTGTTGTAAGTGTAGTAAATTCATAAGCTGCTACTTCACTATAAACACCAGCTAAATTTGTTAATAATGTACTCTGAATAAATATAAAGAGTTAGATGAATTTAAAAAAAAAATATTATAAAAATATACTTTTCCAACTGATGGAAAACCAACAAAACCAATACGAGCATCACCCGTTTTAGCAACATCAAAACCTTCACCTTTTCCACCACCACCACTACCTTTAGGATCAATTAATTCACGTCGTAGTTTAGCTAATTGTGCTTTAAGTAAACCTAAATGACGTGCTGTTGCTTTATTTTTTTGAGTTCTTTCCATTTCAGCTTCAATATCGGCTATACGCTCAAGAACACCCATGATTTTTGTTTTTTTATTATTCGGTTGTTTTTACTGTTAAATCTGAAAGATATTTTAGATTTAAGAATTTTTTACATTTTTATCAAATTTAATTATTCATTCATTTCAATATTTATTTTGATCTATTGATTTGAAAATACAACAAAGAAAGAAGAAAAAAAAACAATAACACCTACGCAATACTTCACATGTGAAAATTTTCTCATAAATTATTTCAGAATATGTTAACGAGTAGTTTTTTGTAATAAAAATCAAGAATATGATATTTGATTCTAAATATAAATACATAGCATATGGTAGATTAAAAGAACATAATAATGACAACTGCATTCTAAAAAATCTACATTTCGAAATTTTAGTGTTTGCGTAATAACCATAGAATATTTACATTTTATTTCTTAATCAAATATAAGGAAAGAAAATAAGGAAATTTATCATTATCTTGAAACTTTCCAAATATGTTGATTCTAGAATCTTCTATGTTTGCATCATAATATTTTACCCAACTATGAATAATCATTTCTAACTAAACAAAAGATTGTAATTTCCCAATTAAGAAATTTGATTATTATGAAATATGATATTTTTCTTGATTAATTTTTAAAAACTTTTAAAACAAAAAAAAACAATCGTATGCATTTGTCTATGTTTACAAAATACAAACAAAAAAAAAACTACGACGGATATGATTTAATATTTTATTCGTCCTTTTCATGTTCGCCACGTACATATTACACTACATCGAAAGCAATAACAGAATGAGTGAGTAAAGTACACGTAAAATGACTCATCGATTATTACTTCAGATAAAAGGGGCAATTTTTCTAGTTTTGTATTATATTGTCTACGAATAAACAATAAGGAATGTTGATAGAAAACGCAACAAACGCAAAATCACAAGTACAACTTATTCCATACTCAGGGATTGTTAATCCTGAACATATGAATCAAATGAATTGTGTTCCAATAGTGAATACAGATGATAATGATGTGAATATGAATGATGAATGTAATCATTTGGAAAATTTATTTGTTGAAGATTTTATTCGAAAATCAAAAGATTTTCGAGATAATGAACAAATAAATTCATTACCAGTTGAAATTCGTCTTGGTACAGTTTATACATATCAAAATCGTCGACAACAAAATCAATATCCTAATGGTTTAAATAATCGAATAATTAGTGCTCATGAATTACATAATGAAGAACATCGTGCTCGTAAAGATAAAAATTTCTTAATAACATTTAATAAAAATAAAGGTATTAATGATATTCAAATGTTTGATTATGAATTAACATGTGCTGGTTTTCGTTCAACAAATGATTTACAAATAACATATAGATTATATTTACGTTATCAAACAAAACGTTTAATACTTGAATTAAAACGTAATACAAATGATCAAAGATTTTTTTCTGTTAAACGTTTATTAAAATATTCAACAAAATATACACATATTGATGTTGTTAAATCAAAATATAATACAAATTATCCTAATACATATGATGATATATTTGATATACGTACATCAATTGGTAAAGCTGATGAAGAAGAATTACATATTAATGATGATTATTGTAATTTTATACATATAAAAGATCTTGATCAATGTGTTTTTGAAACACAATCAAAAAGTGGTGATATAATATATCAATTTAATCGAAATTTATTATCATATTTTGATTTTTTTCAAATTAAAGAAACATTTATTTATGATTATTCATGTATGGATAGTCGATTTTTTGGTGTACGTATTATAATTGAAAATCAAACTGGTTATGATTTATGTTCAAGTTCAAAAACAACAACACCATGTTTACAAACAAATAATGTTATTATGGCTAAATTACATTCATTTAATTTTATTGAAGAAGAAGAAGCTAAACGTATATGGATAATTGGTACATGGCTTTCAAATTTAGCAACACAATGTACAAATAGAAATTTTCCAACAAATAAAATTTATTGTCGTCAACCTGGACAAATTCATAATTCATACCGACATACAGTCAGATAAAACTCATATCTTCATTTTCAGATCTATTTTTTTGTTTGCAATTTAGTTTGTTATCTATTGATTCTTAGTTAAAAAAAAAAAAAAAATCTTGCAATTAAATTAAAAAATAAAATTTACTCAATCACGACTTCTCATTTCTTTACAATAAAAAAAAAACAAAAATCATTTCTAAATAAAACATAATGAGATAGATTATTTTGAAAAGTTTTTTTTATTTATTTATTTAACGCACAGAGAGAGAGAGCATCACACATTTCTTTGGACAAACAACAACAACAACAGAGAAAAGTGGAATAAAATTATTAATATATCATAATCACAATGTACAAATATAGTGCGTTTTTTTATTTTTGTTCTTCTACGAAGGATCAATTAATTTAAATAAAATTCACTGTTATGTACTGTATAAGAAGTTCTTAAAGTAAGAAGTAATATAAGAGAAAAACACATACACAACAATAATTTAAATTTAGTAAAAGTAGAAATAACATTAAAAGCATTAGACAATGGAATTAAGAAAGATTGGCAAGAAAAATTTAGATTCGTAGTGTTGTTGGTTTTTTTTGTATTATTATTATTCTCAATATTATGTTTTTTTTTTTTTTTTTGTTTTGATTATCCATTTTAAAAAAATTTACAAACGATCAATAAGATCATGTTTGTCTTTCATAGACATTTGACTATTTTTTCGTGCATCACGTTGACGAACAGTTTGTGATTTTAATTTTTCTCGATATTCAGCTGCTGACATTTCTAAAACAAAAAAAATGACAAATTTTTAAATTAAAACAAAATAATTATTTATTCTTACGAATTTCAAGTACTCCTCCTGATCCATTACCAGATGATGATTGAGATAAGTTCGAACCTGTAAAACGTTGTCTCTTATTAAAATGTATTTATGCTAATATCAACGGAACTGAAATGCGTTGTTTTTGTTTTTTGAATAACTCATGCGAAATAATAGATAAGGGTTTTCGGCGATTAAGACTCTCATAAGCAAAACTTTTTAAGAAAAAAAACTTTATAGATTGTTTTGCATAAGTACATACCCTTGAGTGTCTTTCGTAGGATTAAATTCAAATAAAAATTACTTTTTGTTCGGGTCAGAAGTTTCGAACGGTTTTTAAATCAAATATATTAATAAAAGCATGAAAGAATAAATTATCGATTAAATTGAGTGTTAAGACTACATGTGAATTTTCAAAAAACAACAAATGCAATAATCATACGAAATTTTACAATAAATCAGCAAAATGATATGTTGGTTATTAATATTAAAATTTGAATCTCTTAAAATAAAGAAATCAATAGAAAACATAATTTATTTTTGTAAAATTTTTTTTTCAGAAATCTTATTGATTAGCATTTTGCTAAACATATTATAGAATTATTACATTCCTTTCTATAAACAAATATAATCATAAAACTCAGTTTGATCGAATAATATAGAAGCTCTCATGTTTTTCAAAATTTTTAATCTAAATACAAATTAATTTTTTGTTTCTTGCAAATCAAATGAGTTATTCAAAAAACACATCTGAATGATTTAACTTCTAATACTGATAGTATAGTATGAAAATTTATTCAAGCAAATTCATTACGTTTATCTGAATTCGAACGAGTTGGTTGTGGATAAGTATCATGATCATCAGGAATCAAATAATCTTGATTAAATTTGTTTGATGTCGCTGGTGAATTAGTATTCTAGAAAAGATAAAATTGAAAAAAAATAAAATAAAACTCAATAACTATGAGACGAAGGAGAAAGGTTAAGCAATAGCTACATTTTTATTATAAAATGTCAAATCTATTGAGTATACTTTATGTTTGTACTCGTGTATCATTCTTTTCAGATAGACGTGACAATGAGACGGATAGATAATATTACGTTAAAAGGAAAAAAAACAAAACACCGGGTGAATCATAAGAAATAATTTTTTTTTTTGCTATAATAAAAATGAATAGTTCTTACTTTCGTTTGTGTGATTTGTGGACGAGTAAAATCTGTAACATTTTTATATTCACGATTTGATTCATTTGTTTTTTTTTGTTGTAATGTATCTCGTACAATAGGTGAATCATTTATTTGACCTGTATTTTTATTTGATATATAAGGTGAATTATTATTATTATTATTATTTTCTATAATATATAAAAATAATAAATATTTATTAATAAATAAAACAAAAAAAAAAGATCTCACTTATTCCATCACGAATTTCTGTTTCTAATTTTTCAACATTTAAATCTGAACTTGTAACAATAATTGATTTATTTTTATAATATTCATCAGCTATTGGATCAAGTACTAATAAAATAACTTCTTCAGGATATTTTGTACCATTTCTTGTTACACCTTCTTTTATTCTTTGTACAACTTGTTTATGATTTTCATTACCAATTGAATTATAATTAACTTCAATTATACGATCATTTTCAAGTAAACCAGCTGAATCAGCTGGTGAATTTGGATCAACTTTACCAATATATTGTCCTGGTTTAGATTTTTCTGAATGTAAATTAAAACCATAACCATCAAAACCAGGCCATCGACGAAGATGACATAATCGTGGTCGTGGTTCATACGATTCAAAACTACTATTTGTCATTATTAAAAAAAAAAAGATTTTTGTTTTTCAAGATATTATATGAAAAACAAAAAAAAAAAAATCTAGAAAAGAAAAATTAATCTTCATACAAATATATTTATGTCGGGTACATATACGATCATCCGAAAGTAAATAAAAAGAAAAATGATTACTTTCTTTTCTCTAGAAAAATATAAAACATGAAAAATGATCTGTTCCGTCTTTTTCATTTTTACTTCTTTAATATTATTTAATTTGTCTAGTTTTCTTTTTTTCAATGAAAAGAGACGACACATGTTTAATCATATCATATGTATATTCGATTTTGTTCTCTCATAAATGATCATATAGATTTTTTCTTTATTTTTCATTTTATTAAAAAACAAAAGAAAAGGTAAAAAGAAAGAAAAAACACTCTTTAGTTTATATAAAGTAAATGACTATCGACGAAAATGAATGTCTCTCGTTAACGATTACAACAATGTAAATATGTTCAGTCGTCTATGTTGATGTTGGCACCTCCTCTTTTTTCTTTCTTTCTTCGTCTTCTCCTCTATTTCACTTGATCATAAAACATTTGTTCATTAGAACAATATTGCTAAAGAGAATAACAAAACGAAAATGTCTGCATCGTTCATATGCTCACTTTGTACTAATAGGTGAACGAGTCGCAAAACAAAAGAAAAAGAAGAAGAATAACTACTTCTACTTTCGGGACGCACACATACCTACTCGATTCGACGTGTTATCATTGCGTCGTCATCTTTCTTTATTTATACGAACTGACCATCCATGGGAATGATAGAATACGATGAAAATGAAAAGAAACGAGACTAATAAAAAGCAGGTTGTTTCGTTTTTGGCATAACGTGTGTATGTTATTTTTAAACTAAGAAAAAAAGAAACATGAAAAATGCATTACCCATTTCTTCTCTTCACACAGACACCGGCTGAATAAAGAAAAAGAGAAGGGACAATGACGATGCGAAAAAAAAAAAGAGAGAAATAACAACGTACACACATACTTCTTTCACAACAGCTACTAAAATAACAACGATAGATGAAAAAAAAAAAAAGAAAGCAAACTATTATCAGTCTTTCTTGTTGTGAATAAACACGAACAAAACATTGAAAAAAAAACACAATGCAAAAACATATCTTTTAACACTTCAATATGATATTGTTGTTCATAAACTTTTGTTTGATAATTTTCACAGTCAATAAATGAATATAAAAGAAAAATCACACACACACACATAAAATAAATATGATGTTTTTTAGATTGTTCTTTTGATTTTATTTTTTGCCACGTAAAAATTTACCATATGCAGATTTTGATTCAAATAAACTACGAATAGTTACAACTTGAATAATTGATACTATAATCATAATAGATAAATGAATAATTGACCAAAAATTAACACGTTCAAAATTATTTTCAGCTATAACACGATCATGTACTTCAAAATTATTAAATGTTTTTTGATAACGTTGAGCTGATTCCATATTATCCCAAATATGTTGAAAAACTTCCTAAAAATTGAAATAATTATGATATTTTAACATTTTGATTTTTCTCAAATTCAAATTTCAATTGATATTAAATCAATTTAATATATGACATTGCTTTTTTTTTTAATCATTGAAAAAGTTTTAATAACATCTGTCAAGGTTAACTGATGAAAATATGTTGATAACAAAAAACAAAACAAAACAAACTTTCATAGTTTATCAGATGAGTTTAACGTTATCATCAAATTTATTATATAATCAATTGTATGCCAACTTCGTTATGGGATATAATCAAGAGAGAGAAAAAAGTGAAAATGCCGTACTTTCAGACTATATCATAATTGGACATCAAATCTATTTCAAGTCTCTTATCGACCTGTGTTACGTTATATTAACCAGAGTCCAGTCTGCGTAAGTCTATCTGACAATAAAGTCCAAATACTTCATTGTACTCACACTTTGGAAGTACAATGAAGTATTTGGTCTTTAGGGTGAGGGTGACTTACGTAAGCTGGACTCCGGCTAATATACAACGTAACACAGGTCGATAAGAGACTTGAAATAGATCTGATGCACAATTATGATATAGTCTGGAAGTACAGCATTTTCGTCCTTGGATATACCGGTCTTTGAAGTTAGTTCCGGTGGAAGATGCTAAACTTCAGAAATTGTCTTTGAGTAGTACTAGATACTATAACGTGACTGAAAGATAGAATTACTCGTTTTGTTGGTGGATTTTCAAAAGCGTTTTCGTAAAATTTTGGATACTGAATGAATTCTTTAACAGTAGATTTCAATCGATTAAAACTTATCAAATAAATTGATAGGAAATTTCATTGTATTCTTAAGTCTAATTTTGGATATTTTTACTTATGATACTTTGATCGAGTTCAATCACATGAGTATTCAACAAAACTATAATGAATTCGTCTAGGTTACTAATTCAACGAAAGGTAACTATTATACATTTGAAAAAGAAAAAGAACATTCGCGAATATTTTTTTGAATAACTTTCGATAGAAACAAGATAAAGAACTGCGGGTTTTCATTATGATAAAGATCCAGGCACATAAATCTATCTTGATATTTGATTGGTCATCATTGGATCAATTAGATTATTCTTAGTAAATATTTTAAAAACCATAGTCCTAAACAACTTTTCGATTGACTTTGATTGTTAATATAATCAATAGGTACGAAAAAAACTATTTTGTTTCGATCTATACAAGACCAAGATTGCTAACTTGTTATAAAGATTTCCTTAAAATCCTCGATTGTAGCCAATAGATCTGAAGTTACGATACTGACGAGGGAACATTCCCAAGTGTCACATCGCTTTTAAATCGAGAGTATGAGCATCATGTAGATCCTAATGATTTGCATTTTTACGATAGTTTTAAACACAAAACTGTGGTCCTGCTCAGAAACACCAGGAAAACGAAGTTTCGAATTTTGACTTGAAGCTTTGCACAGAGACAAGTTTCAATGAGAATAGTTTACTGTGAAAGTTTCAGGTCTTTTGGTTGTTTCTATCTAAGATACAGCTATGGTAAATGCATGCTTCTATATACCAACGAATTCCGATGTTCTTACTTTAGCTTAGGAGCAATTAAAAGATCTGAAACTTTCGTAATAAACTATTCTCATTGAAGCCTGTCTCTATACAAAGTTTCAAATAAATCGAAATTCGAAACTCAGTTTTCCTAATGTTCCTGAGGGAAGCTACTGCTTTGTCTCGTAAAAATGCGATATCTCGATAGCAATAAGCTAGCAGTACGAACTCTTTCCATGGTATTTATAGATTATTAGGGTTTACATGGCGCTTATACCTTCGGCTGAAAAGCGATGTGACACTTGGAAATGTTTTCTCATGAGTCGAATAACGATAATTTCTATATTTTCAAAGTTTTATAATCTGTCGCTATACATCATAATAAGTCTAGAGTGTTATTCACGAACTGCTATGATCAATCAAAAATCTCTTTGCTATCCTATGAAGTATGAATAATTCGATATGCATATATATAAATTCGAATAAACCTTACTTTAAAATGATCAATTTTACTTTGTAAATCACCAAGATCATCTTGACCAACATCTTTCATCCATGATTCAGTTGTATGATCATATTCACTATTTCCATGTTCATCAATAAGTCTTAAACTAAAATAAACTTGTTTTTGATTAAAACGTGATATTGTATTATCAAAACAAAAACGATATTCTCCTGTTTCTTCTAATTTTAATGTTTGATGACCATCACGTTTTTTATAATCAGATTGTAAAACACGATTTGTTGGTGAATAAAACCAATAATTTATATCAATATCACCACCAGCTATTACTTCATATTCAATTTCAGCTGTTTTACCTGTTGTTAATATTTGATGAAAACATTCACGTTGATTAGCTGGTACAAGTATAGTTAATTCAATATCAATTGTATATATTGGAATTATTAATATAGTTAAAATAAATAAAATAATAATATGTATATTAAATTTATAAAACATCTAGAAACACAAAAACAATTATTTATTTTATAGTTTTTTTTTTTTCTTTTTCTTATTCTTATTATCATCTAAATCATCAAGTAAAGCATGTTTTTTAATTGTTATTTCAATATTTCGTTTCCATTGTTCTGGTCTTGAACAATATGCTGTTAAATTCATTTCATATGTTATATATTTTGCATATATATGTGAACGAAGTAATTGTAAATCATTTGACATATTTTTAACCATTTGAAGTTTTTGTTCAATTGTTTGAGCATTTTTCCATAATTGTGTTATAAACCAACAAGCATATTTATCACAAGACATTTTTGTATAAAATTTATCAAGTTTATTATAGAAATTTTTTTCTCGAATTAAAGGCCATAAATTTGATTTAAGTATTAATTGACAAAGTAAATATGAACCATTTGGATGACATGCTATTGTTGATATTTGTTCACCAGTTAAAGAAATAAATGATTGATATGTTAATTTATCAATTTTTTTAGCACGAAGAAGTGCTTGAACAATAAGTGAACCTTCTTTTGTTATTAATTGATTTTCAGAATTTTCTAAATTTATTTATATTTAATCAACTACATATATTTTTAATTTGATTCTCGATCACAAAAGAACGAAATCTGAATTTCATGTTATTGCGTAAGTAAGAGATACTGAGATTTCACCTATATTAAGCTGTTCCTCTGATTATGCGATTAGTTACTTATTATTGTCAATTTTTCAAAACAATACTATGAACTCATTCGGAAATAAGAGAGAAACTAATTTTTCAATTTCGACTTGAACAAAGAAACAAATATGAACAAAACCATTTGATCTATTTCTGTTCTAAAATGAGAATATCGAATCTTTGGTTGTATATCAGCAGTGTCACAAAACACTATTTTTGTTAAGATTTATTTCTATGCTAAGTTTCAAACGCAACTCAAAAGTAACTAATCAATTGACGGACTTCCCTCATTAGAAACATCAGAAAAAAAAAAAACTTATTTT